TTCAAAAGATTGTTTGTGGAAAAAGAGATCTTAAACTATATTAAAAAAAAGAATCTGACACAGTATCCCATACATCTTCTCTTTTATACTCCCCTTAAAGTTCTAAACACTTTACAGTTTCCCTCTGTTTTTCTCACCTATTTTCTTTCAACACAGAGAGAAAGAGATATCGATACGGTATATCAGTTTTAATAACATGAAGAAATCCTGCTTCCAGCTCAACTCTTGAAACATTTCTGACTGCCAGCCTGCCTTAATAAAGAATCTGCTTACATCAGCAATACATCACAATACCTTTCTACATGACTTCTCATATCAAGTGAAGAACAATTAAATGGGACAAAGTATTTGAACATCCATTTATTGATTTTACATTCGCAGTTGAATTTATGGTTAACAGCATTACAGTTTTTTGTTTTTTCTAAGAAAAGGTTCTTTAAAATGTAACAACTTAGTAAGTGCATAGTAAGTTGATTTGGTCAGACAATGGCTATTTACAGTTGTAAGACAAATATTATGGACTGAACCCAGAAAACAATTAGTAACTACTGCAGATTTCTCAATTCTATATTGAGAATTTTTGTCACATTTTAAATTAACTGAATTTTTTGGTTTCTTTCAGGGATAGTCCTCTAGATTCTGTTGCATCATATAGATCAGTGATGGCTAACCTTTTTGTCTTTGTGTGCCGAAAGTGTGTGTGTGCCCACACCCATAATGCAATGTGTGCGCGACCCCCCTGCGCATGTATACACGACTGCCCATGTTCTGTTTTGGGCCTAGCAGCATACCTAAAGCTGCCTGGGACCAAAAATGTGGTGCGGGGGGATGCGCACCACTCCCCCCACCACATCTCCTGCATGTACCCTGCCCTCCACGCATGCACAGCAGAGACACAAAAATCAGCTGGCTGGCAGAGATGCGTGCACATGCATGGTGGAGCTGGCTGGGACGATTGCTTGCGTGCCCGCAGAGAGGGCTCCGCATGCCATAGGTTCGCCATCACAGATCTAGACATAATTAAGTATGAACATTAGAATTTCCAAATCTTTGACGTTTCATTTCAATGAAGATTTGAGTGAAGCAATTAATTAAAACACTGTGCCTCAAACTGGAGGGCTTGAATGGCTGTGGTTTTTCAACTGAACAATGAGGCTTTTGGGCATGCACAGGTCTCTGAGGAAAGACCAGTGAATCAGCTTTCACTTTATTGCTTTGCAGAGAAAGAGTATCTCATCTCTTTGAGACACTTTACCACAACAAGGAAAAGTGATGTCTATCAGTAAAGTGAATCAACTGAGATCCTCACAGGCATAATGAATAACAATTGCCACATTAGATTAAATCAGTGCCGGTATAATTATGTCTACCCAGATGTTCTTCTGCCCACTATATAAAGATCTAGTAAAGAAGAATCAAATAGATTTTGCAATGTATAAATCTGATTGTTTAGAACCGGGGTGTCAAACGTGCATTATCATGTGATGTATCACAACTTTCTCCCCCTTTATTAAAACGGGAGGGGGGCATGGCCAGGATGTGTTGCATCTGGGCCACAGGCTGCCAGTTTGACACCCCTGGTTTAGGGGAAACACAATCTCTTCCAGAAAATGTTAAGAAATTACATTCCCAGTCCACTGATCTCAATTTATCTAGATTAAATTTCAACTAGTTCCTCTTTATCCAACTCATTATTAGAATCAAATAATATTCCAGAACATGATTCCTTAATGATTCCTTAAGAGTAATAGAGCTGAGAATCATCAAATTCTGAATAATCTCAATGATTTCATGTACATATATATTACCCAATGTGCAAGAAAGAACACTGTAGCCAAGAACATTAGTGCTGAATGATGCTCTCACAGAATCACCTTCTAGAACAGGAATCTCCAACCTTGGCAACTTTAAGCCTGGCGGACTTCAACTCCCAACTTCAAGTCTGCCAGGCTTAAAGTTGCCAAAGTTGGAGACCCCTGCTCTAGAGAAAACCTAATATTAAAGATGTCTATTTCTGCCATACAGTATTGCTGAAGCCCACAGTTGTAATATTATCAAAATAAACAGTATAACAAAATAAACATTTTCAAGAAATCCAGGAAAACTAAAAGAAGACTCTCCTCACTAAGTCACGATGTAGATTATTCACCAAAATGATCAAAGTAATGAATTGAAACTTAAGGTCCAAATGAAATGCATTTATAATCAAATATACCTCAAACTATAAGTTTTAATTGAATAAAAGACTACAACTGTTTTTTTATATAAGATACGTGCTCTTCCAGCCTTTATTTCTTCTGTTTCCCTATCTAAAAGTAAAATAATGGAAATGTGTAATGGAAATGTGGAAATGACCTTGGGGCATGGGTAGATAAGAGGGAGCTTAGTCCACAGCTGCCTAAAAGAGAGTGAAAAAAAATAAATAGAAATGAAGCTCCCTAACTTATCAGGCAGTAGAAGAGATCGCAGATTTGTACTTTCAGACATGCAAGATTCATAGTAATGTAGCCTTACTATGAATTAGCTCATCTGCTCTGTTTCTTGTCTGATCTACATAACAGAGGTTTATTAAAAACCCAAAACAACCTCAAAGCCAATTGTTCATAGCACATCCATCAGGTCCTCTGGCTCCCAAGCTAGTACCTTGTTTCCCCGAAAATAAGACAGGGTATTATTTTCTTTTGCCCCACAAAATATGGCCTTGGGCTTATTATAGGGGGAAGGCTTATTATTTTCTGGGGCAGGTGAGAAGCAGGCGCGCCTTTTACCTTTCTAGCTCCGTCGCGTTCCTCACTATTGTGTTCAGAGAAGCTGCTGGTAAAAAAACCCCCCTTCTTGCGAGTTCAATCAAACTTCTTGGAAGTCGCGAGAAGGTTTATTTTTAACCAGGGGTTTCCCTGGACACAATGGTGGGGAATGCGGTGGACCCGGAAAGTAAGAGGCGTGTTTCGTGGCCCAACACCGCCCACCTCGCTCCAATGGTAAAGGCAGCCTGCCTGGTTCCCTTCCTCACTGTCCTTTTAGCGAGGGGTGGCAAGTGGGGGGAAGAAGCGAGCGCGCCTCTTACCTTTCCAGGTCCGTTGTGTTCCTCGCCCTTTCGTCCAGTGAATCCCCTTGTAAAAAAAACTCATGAGTTTAACTCGCGAGGTTTTTTTTACAAGGAGCTTCAATAGACGAAAGGGCGAGGAATGCAATGGACCTGGAAACACCGCCCATCTTGCCCTAATGGTAAAGGCAGCCTGCCTGGTTCCCTTCCCCACTGTCCTTTTAGCGAGGGGTAGCAGGTGGGGGGGGGGAGAAACGAGGCGTGCCTCTTACTTTTCCAGGTCCTTTGTGTTCCTCGCCCTTTTGTCCAGTGAAAAAAAACCTCATGAGTTCAACTTGCAAGGTTTTTTTTACAAGGGGCTTCAATGGATGAAGGGGCGAGGAACGCAGCAGAACTGTCAGTCTCTGGTAGCACTAGGACGTGCATCTCGCTTCTCCCCCCCACCTGCCACCCCTCGCTAAAGGAATGGCGGGGAAGGGAACCAGGCAGGCTGCCTTTACCATTGGGGTGAGGTGTGTAGTGTTGGGCCGTGAGGCGTGCCTCTTATCTTTCCAGATCCATTGCATTCCTCGCCCTTTCATCCAGTGAAGCGCCTTGTAAAAAAAACTTCGTGAGTTGAACTCATGAGGTTTTTTTTACAAGGGGATTCACTGGACAAAAGAGCGAGGAACGCAACGGACCTGGAAGGTAAGATGCGCACCTCGCTTCTCCCCCCCCATCTGCCACCCCTCGTTAAAGGGACGGCAGGGAAGGGAACCAGGCAGGCTTCCTTTACCATTGGGGTGAGGTGGGTGGTGTTGGACCGCGAGGCGCGCCTCTTACCTTTCCAGGTCCGTTGCGTTCCTTGCCCTTTCATCCAGTGAAGCCCCTTGTAAAAAATCCTCGTGAGTTGAACTCATGGTTTTTTTGACAAGGGGATTAATTGGACAAAGGAGCAAAGAACGCAATGGATCTGGAAAGGTAAGAGGCGCACCTCGTTCCCCCCCTGCCACTCCCCGCTAAAGGGATGGCAGGGAAGGGAACCAGGCAGGCTGCCTTTACCATTGGGGTGGGGTGGGTGGTGTTTGTTTTGAGCAAGAAGGAACAGGCGGGAGGGGGTGATCGCATTGCTGGCCTGCTGCTCTTTTTGTAGTGGCCTCTTTTTACACGGGAGGAAAGGGCGGGAGGTGGAAGCACTTTGCTTCGCCTGCTGCTGTTTTTGCAGTGGGCTCTATTTTTGCCCCGCAAGCTGTACTGGTAGGTGTTACAGTGGTAATGGTGGGGACTGGGTACACATGCGCTTAAATAGTTGGGGGTGGGCTTATTTTCGGGGGAGATCTTATTATGGTGCATGCTGTCAAAAGCTTGATTGGGCTTATTAGCAGGGCATGTCTTATTGTCGGGGAAACAACAGTAATCCTTCCACAGAAATACCGGTATTGCTTTTATATACATAGGTGATACTTTAATATCTTTTTTCCAAAACTGGAATTCATGTTTATAAATAAAAATTATTTAATGGTCAATGGTGCATCCAAAGCTTTAGATGTAACAGTGGACGGAAAAGCTACAGCAACCAAATGTATTCTCTATCATGACAGGCTCCAAAAGTTTGAAGTAAAAGATGTGGTCATAATGATACAATTTTTGGTTGCATATTCATTTCAACTGAGTGGGGTGTGTGTGTGTGTTTCACCATGCCCAGCTTCATTTGAAAAATACATAACTTATTAGAAAGTTTTAAACTAAATTGTGCTTGATCTATTTCAATTCATACATTTTTACTCGTTACTAGGTCTAGAAAATATAAAGTAAGTGTAAATAATGCATGTGAATAATGAACATGTTTTTCATATTCAAAGTATTCCATCCATCCATCCATCCTTCCATCCATCACCCAAGATACTATATTGGAATGCAATTACAATGAAAGAAAAAGGAGGAAAATGATATTGAAGAATTAAAAGAAAAATACCTTTCAAAAGGTTATTCAAGTCCATAGCTTCATGTAGTACCTTTTGAAGACATTTGTGATCTACCCCAGGTTCTAATGAAAAAAAAAGTATAAACAGGTATATTAAGTCTAGTGTTGCTGCCATGTATATGCCTTAATAAGTTCTGCAAGCTTACCATGTAACTCCTGGCTGACATTTTGTTGTCTTTTAACCTTTAATTTCTTATCATTGGATGCTGCCACTTCAAAAGATTGGATGGGACTGATATCTGGGGTTGACAGAGGAGTGACATCAGTAACTGTATCTTCAGATTCTTCTGCGTGGTCACCCAATTTTGATTTTACTTCCACTGACTTTTTTCCTTCGTTTGACTGTTGTTCTGATGAAAGAAGTGGTGATCTTATGGGTTTTTTTCCTGAAGAACATGATGAGTCTGACAGGCAACCATCAGTGTCTGAATAATCTGTATCAGAACTAGAAGATGGGGAAGAGGAGGAGGAACTATCATTCCTATTAACCTTTGTACCATTAGGCTGTTTAGAGAACTTATGTCTAACTCTCTGATTTCTGCTATCATCACTACTGTTTTCTGCATCTGTGTAGTAATTTTCTTCACATTCTTTCTCTCTTAAGGGAATTTGCACTGAAATGTTTTCATGAAGGGTTTGTTCATTTTGTGCTGTGATTCTATCAACTGGATCCTCCAGATTTAAAGAAGCTAACAAAGAAAGAGCATTATTTGAATTATGAGCACCATTTCCTAACATGTTTTCCTTTTGATATTCTGCCTGTTTAGCTTGCTTTTCTTCCTCAATACTGTTATCCTCCATCACTTTGGCTTTCTGTTTCAAATGACAATCATCTGTAACTGAACCTTTTATTTGTGCAGGTCCAGAACTTTTCATTTTATTTATTTCTGTTGTTGCTCTGTCTTTCTTCACCTCTTCTTCAAAATCGCTATCAAAGAAAGAGTGATCCACTTCACAATCAGATATATCTTCATATCGGTCCATACTGAAGTCAATACTGCTTAAGTGTTTTCCCTACAAATAGAAAACTGGAATTATTATACCAATCACTAGAAGAAAAATCTTTTTCTAATCTTTTATTACAGCAAATCTTTTCCCCCAAATATAAATTTTAACATCTTCTTCAAGCAACAGCAGCAGCAATTAATGCAATATTCTTTTGTTTCATTTGGTACAATCACATAACCCAAGTTGCTTTAATAGCGTTCAATAGCAATTGTATTTTATTTTATATCAAGTGAACAACTACATAATTTAAAATATTGGTAACACTAATTATATTATTAAAACCAAATAATACTATATAAATACATTGATTTAGAGATAGAAATAAAAATTATAGATGGATTATATAAATTCAAAATGTCAGCAGCAATGCAGACGTTTAAGGAGACCTGGAAATAAAAACAAAAACATCCTCTCCAGTATGGTACCTTGACATTTTCAAAATTGAAAAGAGGGGGAATAATTTCTTCTTTCATCTAAAATGTTTGTGTGGTTATCTGCACCCTCTATTATTGATTAATTCATTTAATTTGTCATCTCCATCTGATGCAATGTATAAATTTTTCAATTCCTTTTTTCATTCTCTCCTTTTTTATACCACCTGGCCCAGCAAGCTCCCATCTGGTCCTAGTATAAATAATGCCCAACTACACCTGTTATACTAAAACAGTATACTACATTAAAAAAAGAAGCCTTTAGTACAGCACTTGTGTTCCTTTAAAGTACAATAAAAATGGACATCTATGCTCCATTTACAATAATATACTGGTACCTCCAGTTGATATTTTAGCTGGAGCATTACCATCCTTAGACCAGTGATGGCGAACCTTTTTGGCAGGGTGCCCAAACTGAAACGTGTGCGCATGGAACCTGGAAGACCAGCATGCACCAACTAGCTGGTGTTTGGGTTTCCAACACGTGCATGCACGGTGGCCAGTCTTCAGGTTTCTGGGGCTCTGGCACGCATGAAGACCAGGTAGAGCAACTGGCGATGGCGTATGTGCCCACAGAGAGGGCTCTGCATGACACGTCTAGCACTTGTGTCATAAGTTCGCCATCACAGCTTTAGACATTTTATCCTAGTTCCTAAAAGGTTGCTCAGTTGAATAAAATACTTTTATAACAGGATTTTTTCAAGATTTGTTTTTAAAGCAGGTTCTCACCTATGGAAGCTTATGGTCACAATAAAATAGTCTTTGAGACACCACTATGCCTCCTTTCAATCCAGTTGCATATTAGGTAGTTTACACTGGAAAATTACCTGAACCCATTGCTATAGCTTCACTGACAGTGATATTTGACGGAAGCTTCACGTTAATTCATTAATTGCTATGCCAGGCAATAATAAATTCTATCTCTCTACTTCAGTTGCTATGACACTGCTGTGAGCTGAGCTGCTGTGATTTTTTTTTCAAGACAGGAATATTAGTCATGGCACTAAACTCAGAATATATGTTTAATATATTCAGGAATAGGCAGGAGATTATTTCTGGATGTTGACAGTAGTTTGCCAAAAGCTTCTTTCCTTCTTAATTGTTTATAATAGTAACAATAATCTTGGACTGTCGTACACTGGGCTCAAGACTCTTAATCAACAGTAATTCAGATAGAGATTTTCATTCATGCAAGTCATCCCAGGGCATCCCTGGCCCATGACAAGACATACCTAGATCACACACACCCCAATTGTTATTGTGTATACAATTCTATTGATTGTACTAAGAAAAGCACTATTAAATTATCCCTAATTAGTTAATTTCCATTTAACCTAATACGTCCACTACTTGTCCAAGAACTTAGTTCTAGGTTGTCTATATTTAACAACACATTTTTGTAATTTTCTCCATACAGAGACTGTAAGTAACAAAATGCTATTTCTCCTAATATTTGTTCTGTTTGCAGGATCTGCTTGTTTCCCCCCTGCAGTCACTTAATAACTACAGCAAAGCTTATCAATGCTGATGTGACATGAAGGGGGGGGGGGAGGGTGTATTGTCTTCTTCAAACAGGGCTTGTTGTGGATCCTTGTTTGAGTGATCAGGGTTAAGAGGGAATGACTAGGCCTGTACAATAACTGTAATAAATAGCATATAAAATAATAATAAATAAAAAAGAATGATTAGGGTTGAGAGGAATGACTAGTTTTAGGTGATCCAGTTGCCTTGCATGCTTAAATATAGAATCTTGGGGTCAGACCTTAAACAATCCACTATATGGCATTCTATTGTAGATAACACGGTAATTTTCCAAATATGCATACATGATGCTTCCTACATATTTCTATTATTCTTTGGAAGTACAGCTACTTTTTATTGAGCTGTATATAGGCATAGATTGATTTTTAAAAATTGGTTTCAAAATATAGTATATACTTCTGCTACCATTTAGCATTACCAATTCAGTTATGAATTATATTTTATTACTGAATACTGAATATTTTCACGTGGGAAGGTGAAATTTCTTTCTTAACACACACACACACCCCATCTGCAAAGTATGATTTTAAAAAAGGTAAAATGTAAACTATGATGATACAATTAAACTCCACTGGGTTGTTGCTTTTAAGGTATGTTGCAATGCACATTAAAACAGGCCAAAATTTGACTGTAACATTATGTTTGCCATCTTACTATTTTGGCCACATTCTGCAGACACCTATGCATTCTACATATTTTGGTAATTTAAAATTTAAACAATTTCAAATTAAAATATAACTTGATATCATTACAAAACACTGCATATGCCTGTGCCAATATGACACCTACACAATCTTACATAAAAAGTTATTTTTCTATCTCCTTGGAAATGTAACACTCAGAAGTAATTGCATTTTAAATTCAATTTGCACCTTGTGATAACTGCTGCGTAGGATTGTTGAAGTGAGGGAGGAAGGCTATGGAGAATATTTTACAACTGTTTGGGCATATGTATAGGAGATATTAACACAACTGCAGTTGTCATGACAAATTTAATTAATGTTTAGCCTGCAGTCAATCTGACCCAGGAGTTAAGGAATGAGACAGACAGTGATTCTCAAAGTGTGGTCTGGGGGCCCCTGAGATCTATGGAGGTAAGTAATTTAAAATCTTTGTTTGAATTTCTAATACAGTAAATATTGATAGATACAATCCACATAACCCAAAGCTCTGTAGGTCCTCAATCTTTGTTAAGAATGCAAAAGGGTACTGAGACTGAAATGCTTGAGAACCTCTGATACAGATAAATGCCAAATGTTCAACGGTCTGGTAAGTCTTCTTTCAGCACTGTTATAGTCCATTATTTCAGATTAACAAAAAGAGGAATAAAGTCGGTGTTTAAACCTTTATTAAAATGTTGCTTATGAGCCATTCTCCACACACCTTGTGGGTTACTCAGAAAAAAGCTTTCCCTAACCCATATTGCTTTGCTAGGGCAGAACTGTCAATTCTGTTTTCTTCACATCAAGACAAGACACAAGGGTGATAAACCAATCTGATGTTTTGGGGAAAGGATCACAACAAACAAACAAGCAATTTTACTCTCTAAGAAGGTGAGGAGAGGAAGAAAAACATTTATCCCTAATAAGGTATATTTTCCCTTCCATCCAGTTTTTTCTTGCAAGAACCTATAATGAACTAAGCCAGGGTACTTACTGACTGAGGAATTGTGGGAGTTGAATTTCACAAATCTTAAAGTTGCCAAGGCTAGAGACCCCTGGGTCTAAGGAATTAAAAATGATATGCATCTTGAAATGGTGATCAGTTTGCTCTACTTCCATGATCTACAAATGACTAGAAAAGATCTCACTTAGAACTGGCAAAGTGCTTATTTTGCATCGAATTCATGCACTGCATTAGGACGTGATTTGCACTGTATTAAATAAAAATATAATTGCATACAGTAGCAGAATTAGTTTAGGCAAACCCCCCCAAACGCGCCTTATTTTTAACACATTGCAAAATCGAACCATCTTCTGCTCAAGGGAAATGCAGCCTCGAAATGCAAGCCTTCTAAGAAAACACCCGAGGCAAGAGCTGTCCTCAGTGTGTCCTTGCAACTACCATAACTGGATAAACTCCGACTTTTTACGGACAAGAGAGGCAAGTTTGCAGCTCGATTGGAACGGTTAGTCGTAACCTCGCCGCTAACAAGTCAGACCCGCACCGAGCCCTCAGCCTCTTCTGCAGTTTCACCAAAACACCCGACGGCCCCCCCACATCTATTTTTAATTTAAGTAACAGTGTTGGAAGGGACCTTGGAGGTCATCTAGTTCAACCCCCTGCTCACGCAGGAGATCTGTATTAGGGATTCTGTCCTAAGACCGAGTGCGATGCATGTTAGTTGCAAGTTGCACGTGTAAAAGAAATATTTCTTTAAAAAAAAATACAAATATAGCTCTTGCCAGCTGAGATAACTAAGCCGTAAGATACCAGCCACGTGCAACAGATCTGCTGCATTCAGGGTGGCTATTTAAGGAGGCTCCAGTCCAGCTCCTCCGGGCAAAGGGGCGGAAGGTCGCCCCCTTTTCTCCGGTGGTCCCTCCATTCCGAAATGGCGATGTCCCCGCATCGATTCCCCTTTGCGGAGGGGCGACTGGCCCCTAACCCCGCCAAGAGTCCGAATTAAAGGCTCTGCCCGGGGATGGGATGGATACTCACCCGCAGCCGGCTAAAAAAAAGGAAGGCGTTTTGCGCGCTCTCTCCGCAGCTCTGCCGTCTCCCGCAAGCGAGCCCGGACTCTCCCTCCCGCGCTGTGTTTGCGTAACCAGGAAAGGGAGGGATGGAAGAGATGGAAACAAACATTTCCGTCTCCGTGTTGGCGCGTCCAGGTTCCCTTTCCGTGCAGCAGGGGGAAACGCGGAGTCCCGGTCGCTGGAGAGGAGGCCAAGTCGGGCTCCCCAGCGAAAGGAACCGGCGTCCTCCTAGGTTTGCCGCAGCCTTACAGCTCTTCGCAAAGAACCTTTGTGAATATATGGTTTTCTAAACCATGCGGGGCCCTTTCATGTCAGATTGACAGGTTTGTATTTGGTATTTCCCCCAAATTAAGCTCAGTTGAACAGACAGCTTTAAAGGCGTTTCATTGATCGGCTTAAATCACTTTAAAATGATATTTTTCAAACTTGGTAACTTTTAAGACTTGTGGACTTCAACTCCCAGAATTCTCCAGCCAGCATAAAGCATTCTGGGAGTTGAAGTCCACACATCTTAAAAGTTGCCAAGTTTGGGAACCCCTGCTTTACAACGATGTTTTTCAAACTTGGTAACTTTTAAAATGTGTGGATTTCAACTTCCAGAATTCCCCATGCTAGGGAATGCTAGCTGTATTATTCTGGGAGTCGAAGGCCACGACAACTTAAGGCTGTCAAGTTAAAAAAACAACCCACTTTGGCACCAGCTAAAAATAGAATGGTTTTCTTCATAGTTAAGCGCCAGATCTACATACAGCCACCAGGGTTTGTAAATGACAATGTTGTGAAAATCCAGGTAATGAGAGCTACTCGGCATACCACTACCCCAAAAGGAACAATGGTTTGGTTTGTTGCGTGAGCAAATTTGCAGAAGGCTGCGTTAGATGCATTTACTTCCCGGCCACTGGATGGCGAACTGTAACCTGAGAAAACACCACTCAATTCCTAGGTAACGGAAGATGTTACTTAGTCTGGTAATGAAACAATCATTACCAAGCACATAATCAAGCGCCAAACTCGATTGCAGAAAATACGACTTCAGCAACAATCAATGCCTGGAATCCTCTATCTGACTCTGTTGTTACATCCTCAAACCCCCACAGCTTCAACTTTAAACTGTCTACCGTTGACCTCCTCACCCATTCCTAAGAGGTCCGTAAATGGGGCGTACATAAGCGCACCAGCGTGCCTACCTTCCCTGTCCTACTATCCCCATTTATTTGTCCTCATTTCTTACGTATATAAGTATATACGCTTATATGTTTATATGTTATATAGTCATACTTG